TTGCCAGTAGTTTTTGTTTTGTTTTGTTTTTAAACCATCTGGAGGATTATCTTTTATATTCTGCTTGACCATTTTGATATCTTTGAGCGTCTAAAAGTAGAGCTTTTAGAAAACAAATGGGCTGCAGTTTGTTTCATGACAGGTCTCTCCACTCACGCATTGAAACCAGCCTTCCTGGACTCATTTGATCTTCATCGTTTTAGCACTGACAGTAAATCACACCATGGTCACGCTTTCTGTAGATGCATTTCTTTGTATCCTTTACTTGTCATATCAGGATCATGAAAACCCTGCAGCTCATTAACTTTGCCAGTTTCAATAGGACCCCCTCACAAAGCGCATTGGATAAGCATCAAAAAGCATGACATGGAGTGTGTATGAAGGCGTCAGTCACCTGTTGAACCCACTCCTGACATTTTAGCACTTTCTGCTAAGAACTTCGAGTCCCGAAGGGGTGGACAACTAAAAGAGATGGATGAAATGGTTGATTTGTTTGGTTGCTAAATGCAGCTGGGACAGGTAATTAAACAGTCCTGCTCCTGCAGAGCAGCCTGCAGCAATGTAGCATAAAGTCTCAGAAACCCAGCTGTACTCAGATTTAGATTCAGAACTAATATTAGGTAGGCCTCCTTCAGACTGACAAATTTCGTCAATAATCATTTCTGGCTTATCTGTTCAGCATCACTGAAGATGCAGCCAGTGTTTTCTGTTCACAGTTTACATTGTCTAGAGAGCGTGTGGTATTTACAGGTATGTGGGGAGAAACCTAGAACTAGGGTACACCTTGTACCTGGAGGACAGGGTTGTGGCAGGTGAGCCTTTGCTGATCTTCTGTGCTCCTCCCCCATTGCTGACTTCAGCTGCTCCATGGAGTGTGGAATGGAGGTCAGCCATATGACTAGATCAGGATTACTGCAGGCAGGACGGGAGTTGGAGCCAGTTTCCTCCTTAGCCCTTTTTATCATTCATTCATTTATTTATTTAGAGAGATTTTTTGCTATAGGACATATGTACTTGCTGGAGAGACCGAGACAGAAAGTGAGAAATTACTCCCTGGGAGGATGGCCATACTGCAATCCCGTCTCCTCCATTCTCCTCTCAGGATTTTGGGCATACACACACATGTGCCTGGTGGGTTTTAAGCCACCAGATCCAGGACTCCAACTGCAGTCAATTACATGGTAATCCAGCGACATGATCATTATGTCATCCATGGTCCCAGCCCTTTTTATCTCCGATGGAAGTTTTTTGTGATGGCAGTGATGATGATGCAGTCTCTCTATTGTCCCTGTGCTCCCATTCCCTAAACCTATGGAACAGTCCCAAGCCTGGAAGTGTCTTGGGTAGGAGAAGCAGAGTATGAAAAAGCCTCTGAGCTCTGCCTCTGGTGTGGGCAGAATAGGCAGGAGGAAGCATGGGAAAGGGGTAGCCCCATAACTCCATCTGCAGAGGATGGGGCACAGGCTGCGGTGTATTGGGAAGGGGGTATGTGTGAGGCGGGGTAAAATGTGTGGGGTGGGGTGAGTTGGTGGAGAAGGCACCTACTTCCAGCTCCACTCTAGTATTCAAGGAGGGGTGGCATCAAGGTGTGGGCACTTGGTTTGAGGCTTGGAACAGAAATAAGGGGTTTGTTTATTGTCTACCTGCCAAAATACAGGTTAGTTCTATGAGAGTGAAGGCTATTTCCTTCACCTCATGTTTCCAGCTTCTAGCTTAGTGCCTTGCACATAGTTTATATCTCTAAGTATAATATACACTGTACATCATGTCCAAGTAGTGTGCCAGTAAATGACAATAGCACCAATCTTTTGTAGCATTTGCCAATGTCTGTGGTGTAAATACTTCTGCCATCGCAGATTTCAGGATACCAAAATAACATCACTGATTGCTGAGTTGGGAAGCGATACACTGTAGTACTTCACTGTTACAGGTTTCTCTTCAGCACTAAGTCTGTTTCATTATCTGTCGCAGCTGCATTTAGCAACTAAATAAATCAACCATTTTGTCTGTCTCTTTCATTGTCTCTCTTCAGGATTCTGAGTTCTTATAGAGTGTTTCCAGCCTTCAGATAACCATGGATATTAGTAAAACAGAGTGGAAAAATAATTAGAAAGTGATAGATTTTGAGTATTTATTACATTTATTTTTAATTAATCATAATTTATATGATTAGATTTTTGATAATGGTTGTGTTTAACATTGAGCCAGTTGGCTTGATAAATTTCTTTTTATTTTATGGAGAAGTTTTTTGCTGTAGGGCGGGTGCACTCACCAGAAAGACAGTGAGACAGAAAGTGAGAAATCACCCCTCCAGGGGGAATGGCCATGCCTTCACCTGCATTCTCCTCTCGAGATCTTGGGCACGCACACACATGTACCCAGTGTGAGTTTAAACCACCAGGTCCCGGACTGGAACCACGGTCGACTACATGGGAGTCCAGCAACAGCCATTATGCCAACTGTTGGTCCCTGGCTTGATAAATTTCTGAAAATTACACAAATTGTTCTTATAAGTCAGTACAAGCTAGCTCTAGCATGTCACTGGATTACCTGTTGGTGGGTCCATGGATAATTCTCTGCCCTTTGATGTTAGTTCATAAAAACCAGAAAGGAGTATTGGGCCAAAATGGGGGAGTAAACTGATACTCTATTAGGCTGTCAGAAAAGTCATGATGCATTTTTCCATAGAAAAACATGTCATGACTTTTCCAAAGTCATATCTCTGTTTTCACTCACCCCAGCAGATGTACTGCTACAGAAGACACTGATGTCTCCTCCTATCTTGATAGACATGATTTGGTACAATGACTGGACAAGGGAATGAGGGGACAGCAGTGAGAAATGAAGAAATCAGAAAGAGGGAGCAGGAGTGAAAACAAGTTTACCCTTCTATTTAGAGTACCACAGCATCTTTGTGTGTGTGTGTGTGTGTGTGTGTGTGTGTGTGTGTGTGTGTGTGTGCTTTTTTGCTATAGGGTGCATACACTTGCTGAAGAGACAAGAGAGACAGAAAGCGAGAAGTCATCCCCCCCCACGGGGGGGAGATGGCCACGCCACAATCCCTTAATCCCTTCTCCTCCATTCTCATCTTGGGATCTTGGGCACGCACATACAGGCACCTGGCAGGAGTTTAAGCCATCAGGTTCAGGACTTGAATCGCAGTCGACTACATGAGAGTCCAGCGACGCAGCCATTATGCCAACTGCTGGTCCCTAGAGTGCCAGAACATTTTATTGCCAGCGATGGTTGTAGATCTTCAAGTGCTCAGTTTTCAACAGCACTTAATTTTCAGAAAATTATCCCAAGGCCAGAAGTCCCTTGTGCCTGTGAGACGTCAGGGAGGTCTGGTCAGCCGGGCTACTTGCCACCTCACATTTGTCTGTGTGTCTGTAGTGGACGGAAATGAGCCCCAGATGGTGTCTGAAACAAGGCCTGTGGAACTCTGGGGACTCCGAGCAGATGACCGAGGGTAAATGACTAGGTCAGGGATAAGAGATCACAGAGGAAAGGAAGAATGAGGGAGAGAGCCCCTTGTGGTTGCCTTGCTACCCTGTGTAGGGTGTTCTCCTTGTGTGGTTGGAGATGGCTGGGTATTTGGTTGCCTTGCTACCCTGTGTAGGGTGTTCTCCTTGTGTGGTTGGAGATGGCTGGGTATTTGGTTGCCTTGCTACCCTGTGTAGGGTGTTCTCCTTGTGTGGTTGGAGATGGCTGGGTATTTGGTTGCCTTGCTACCCTGTGTAGGGTGTTCTCCTTGTGTGGTTGGAGATGGCTGGGTATTTGGTTGCCTTGCTACCCTGTGTAGGGTGTTCTTGTATAGTTAGAGATGGCTGGGTATCTTTAGACAAGCAGATTATTGGTCTAGGAAATATAATTATAAGTTACATATAAATCACAGCCACCATGAGAAATCATTAGCTCTCCATCTCCATCTTTGAAAGTCAGGAGAATGGAGTGTGGTGAATGCCCTAGACCTTTGCAGCCAACAGCAATGATTGCAATCAGGACTTGTGTATCTTTACTCTAACTGAGGGGTCAGAGGGGAGAAACTCGTATCTTAGTCCATGTGACTCCTATCAACCAACAGAATCAATCCCAGAATAAATAATGAGTGCCTTCCCCAGACTGGAGGTTTCTCACTGAAGTAGGCTAAGTGGAAAAGAGGCTCTTGGGTGAAGAGACCATCTTCCACAGATTAGTACAGAGAGCATTAGGCGAGCCTATGTTTGGTGCCTGGCACTATTAGGGCCTGAGGTTGTAGAGATGAAAAATACAGACTCTGCTTTCAGTTGAAGAGACGATGAAGAAAGGAATGCTAAGTACGGTATGTTGTAATTGTGGTAGAGATGTGGTTAAGGACGCTAAACTTCTACATGACCGACCACAGTTCAAGTCCTGGAACTGGAGGCTTACTTGCCTTCTCTCTCTCTCACTCTCTCTCTCTCTCTGTCCCTCTCTGGTCAAATTAAAATAAATAAATAAATGAATAAATAAATACAGTTAAATAAAATAATTCTTTTTAAAAAAAAAAAAAAAAAAAGGGGGGTTTAGAGTCTAAACCACCGGCAGTCCTTTTCCTCCTCGGGAAAGAGACCCCTTAATGCAAGGCTTCCTGGAAGTAGCACTTGGTATTGTAGTTACTCACATTAGATGCACTTCTAATTCGTTTATTAGGTAATAAGGGGGAGGTGTGGTGTTCTGGGAGATGGGGCACCCTGAAGAAAAGTGAAACACAGCTTATGTATGGGAACCATAGGAGTTCCTGGAGCTGCTTCTTGAAGGGAGGTTCTGTACATCTGTCTCTTCATTCCAAGGGAATATGAAAGGAAAAGAAACCAGTGACTTCACGGTTTTACTTGTGGCTAATTTTACCATTATTGTCCTCTTCAGGGATTTAGGTGATATGATTCGAGAACTGTAATGCTTGATGTAGGGTTCACAGCTGGAACAGCCCAAACACGTCCATGTTATGTATGATGCCATTGCTCTGTGTTTTGCTACAGCTGCTGCCTATTCATACTCTGAGGCTTGGCGTGGAAGTGGATTCCTTTGATGGGCACCATTATATCTCTTCCATTGTTCCTGGCGGTCCTATTGATACACTGCATCTCCTACAGCCAGAAGATGAGCTTCTCGAGGTAAAATTTATGGGGGGGGAAAGGCACAAGGCAGGAATTTCTAAGTTCTAGAAAAATGTGTTGGACCAGCAGGTGGCATGGAGGTTAAGGATACTGGATTCCACACGGTCAATTCCATGGTTTGATTCCTGGTGGCTTGAAAATCATGCTGAGTATGGGTACATGCATGCACAAAATCCAAAGAGGAGACTGGAGAAGAAGAGATTGCAATGTGGCCATCCTCCTTGGGGGGACAGTTACTCACTTTCTGTCTTTCTCTGTCTTTCTGGTGAACACAGGTACCGATAGCAAAAGTCTCTCTCTCAAAAAAAAAAAAAAAAAGTTTATTTAAATGATTGATTATCTGGATAGATCTGTGGCTTGTTGGTTAAGGCAACCAGATCCTACATGGCCAGCCATGCGGTTTGAATCCCAAGCCTGGGGGCTTTGAAAAACACACTGGGTGCATGTGCGTTCATGCCCAAAATCTCAACAAGGTCGAGAAATGGGGGAGAAGGTATTGCGGTGTGACCATGCCTCGTTGGTGGTTGCTTTTTCCTTCTCCCTCCCTTCTCTCTCTGTTTCTCTGCCGAGCATGCGTATCCTCTGGCAAAATGAAAAAGTATTCATCGTAATGTAAGTGATTGACTATGAAAGAAGTTTGATAGCACAATTAGGAATTTTAGCAAAATTATTTTTAAGGATCAAATCCCGGGGGTTATATACAACATGTAGCCACATTTATTTGCAAGTCTTATTGATTTTTATCTTTTATTTATTTCTCAGACAGTTTTACCATGTTACAGTCCTCCTCGCTCAACCTTCTGCATAGCTGGACTATAGGCATATGCCACTGCCCTCAGCTTTTTTTCAGAGTGAGCCAGGAATCGAACCTGGGCCTCCCAACTGGCTTCAGCCTGCTGAGAAGCAGCATCTATGAGTGTCCTACCATGGCTGGGCATTGTTGATTATTTATAGTCAAAATTAGAGCTGAACAATCACAGGCATAGTATAGTTGGCTAGCTTTTGAATCATCTCTCTCAATTTGACTTCTCTTCTTAAGATGGCAGCCTCCTGTGGGCTTGCTTGGGTTGTCAGCCTTTCTGCCTCAGCTTTGAAATGCCTTCCTGGGAGATTATGTTATCCTGAAATGTTTCATAGCTAACACAAAAAATAAAACAGATATGGAAATAAGGCATTACCCTACCTTTCAGCACTAATTTAATGATAGAATGATAACTTTTGTTTGTGTTTCCTAGCTGTTTTACTGTGTTTTTTGAAATACCTCTTAGGCTCTTAAAAGAGTCAAATGAGGCTTGCCTAGAAATTGTTCTCCCAGGGCTGGCAGGTGGCATGGTGGTTAAGGGTGCTGGACGACCACATGGTCGACTGTGGTTCAAGTCTTGGACCTAGCGGCTTGCTTTCTCACTTTCTTTCTCTCTTTCTCCCATTCTGTCCCTCTCTGATCAATCGATCTAAATAAATAGATAGACAGGTAGATAGATAGATAGATAAAACAATCCTTTAAAAGAAAAAAATGAAGTTGTTCTCTCAAGAGGTAGGATCCATAGGAAACTGTAGGTTGGATTTAATGGAATCAACTGAATACCTTTAGCCACGATTAGAAGTCCATCAGCCCTGATTTTAGGGACTTCTTTCTAAAATTTGTGTTTGTTCAAATTGAAATGACACTGCTCGCAAATAGGTTTCATGTTGGGTGCGGCTGAAGTTTATTAGTAGTGCCCATCCACCTGAAGTGGAATGCTGAGAATTCTAGGTTGAATTTTAAACTCAGAGAGAGAAGCACTATGACTAGTTATCTAAATCTGGCATAAGCACGGGAGGTCGATCTGTTGGAGTCGTGTTTTAAGATGTAGCAAGTTGCTTATTTTTAGAGGCTTTCAAGGGAATGGTATAGGCCTGCATATTGCAAATTTAATGCCCTAAATTTTAAAAATTATTTATCATTATTATTATTTTTCAAAACTTGTTGCAGGGCAGGTGTGCTCACCAGAGAGAGTATGAAAAAGAGAGAAAAAGAAAATGAGAAGGCGAGCCACCACCTCTAGGACTTGAACTGTGGTCAGCTACATGAGAGACCAAAACCTTAACCACCATGTCACCTACTGTCCTCAGTGCCCTACATTTTATTAGAAGAGTTTTGCTTTATTTTTGGTGCTGAGACTGGCTGGGCAAGGGACATACCTTTGTGGATATCATTAGGATAACCTGTAGAATGGAGAACACTGCTCTAATATGTAGTTATTAGATACTGAAAGACAAGGTATTTGTTTGGGAGATGTGGAGGTACAAGTAAAATCAATTTAGTCTCCCCTTCCTTTTTGTTTTATTGATGTTAAAATATATTTACACTGGGCTGGTGTTAAGGCAGTTGATTCCCACATAGGCAATCCTGCAACTGGAGTCCTAGACTCTGTGACTTGAGAAACATGCTAAGTGCGTGTGCATGTGTGCTCAAAACCCTGAAAGGAGGAAGGGATAAAGGAGAAGAGATTGTAGCGTGATCATTCCTCATGAGAGAGGCTTTCTCCTTTCCCTTTCTTTCTTTCTGTCTCTTTCTATCTCTCTGTAGAAAAAACAAACAAAAAACAGAATTTACCATTTTAACAATACTTAAATGTAAAAGTCACTGGCATTGTATAAATTACCACTAGTTTGTGATAAGTGCTTAAGAAATGTTGGCTGGATCAGAGAAGAACAGGTATACATGATCTTAGTCATCAGTTCAATCCTGTGTGCTCTAGACAAGAGCGGATCCCATGGGCCTACCGCCTTGTGTTAGAATGTGGTATGATAAAGCCAGGATGAAGGTTTTTTCATTTTATTTTAATTCTTAAATATAGACTTCTGGTGAAAGAACTTAGGCAAAAACGTACAGGTTTGGAAGTCAAAAGAGCTGCTTTTGGTACTGAATATACCACAGCTTAGCCAGTGCCCCTCGGCATGTCACTGAGCTTTTCTTTAGAATGAGTGTCTTCAATCAGAAACTACCTCACTGTGGTGTGTGTGTGTGTGTGTGAAGATCTAATGAAATATCATCCATGGAAACTGTAGAGCAATCTCACCCTGAGATACTGGCAATATTATCATTACGTAAAGGGCGTATTAATAAGCTGTATGGGCTGGAATGAGGATTGAGTGGGGTATTGTTAATACAGTAGAGCAGTCCTTGTACTATTCTGTACTCTGGAAGTGTGTATGTGTGTGCAATTTCTAATTAAAATGTGTGAATAACTGAGACTCGAAAGCACTTCAGAGGGTTTCTTGTGTTGAAAGACCTCAAGAAGTATCGTGAATTTTAAAATAAAAATCAGCTTCTGAGTAACTGAAGATAGAAATACAAAGTCTCTGTGCAGTTAGCCAAATAAACTTCTGAACTCAAAGTATGAATGTGTGCATGCATGCGTGCGTGTGTAAAGCCGAAAACCAGAAACAAGAGTGTGCTTTGGGGTTAAGACACCGTGCCAAGTCTCAGTCCAGAACAGTTATTTACAGCAGCCGTAAATCTCTGTAGATAGACGTGGGATTGGGAAATGCGACCAGTCTCTTTAGCAATAGCGAGTAGCAAGGGAGGACTACCAGCACTGCTATAATAATTGGAGACAACCCATATGAATTAATAATGAGCTAAATAAATATTTAAAGGTGCTCCAAGATAAAAACCTGAAAAGTGACTTTCTAATTTGTTGAAGTGAAATACAAACTAATATTCCTGTATACTTAGAATTCCTACTTTGATTATATCTGCTTGCTTTTTCTGGTACAGGTTACTCACTATTTAGCTGATTCTAGAACTTTCTGCACTAATGACTTTGGTCTGCCTTTGGCTACGGTGTGACCTGTGATGGGTACTTTCCTGCCTCATCTAGTGTAAAGATTGACTTGCATTTCTTCCAAAGAAAAGCCTTTTATCTGCTACTGAACTTGCTATCCCCTGGACTCCTTCATCAGTGATAAAGACTTGGGAGATGATATTTATCTTTCCAGTAGGGCTAGCTCCCTAAAGTGCATGTGGGTCTCCTTACCATGTGATGGGTTCCTTGTAAATAATTAAGAGACAGGGAAGTATGTCTAGCCCAGTGGCTAAGTGCTTAGCCTGTTACAGGTTTGAGAGTGGTTCCCAGGGATACATGACTTGAGGCTTGGCCCTCTGCAGATAGGAAGCTTCTAGCAACCCATTGTTCTCTTACTCTTTGGTGCAATGGCAGATTTGTGGAGTGGCTACTCCTAGAAAGGTGAACCCTGCTGGTTATCTGAATATTAGCACTGTACCTGTCAGCAAGTAATGCCAGACTAGAAATACCTTTAAAATGAATAATGCTGATGCAGCAGTAACACAGTGCCCTACAAGGCTGGAAGCCACAGGGTTGACTACAGTTTGGATCCCCAGGTAGGCCTGAAAACACATGGGGCACATGTGTCCTGTGGCACTCAAGATTCCATGGAACTGGGAGGTTAGGCTCACAGTGTGACAAAACCCTGTGGGGGTGGGGGTTGGGGGGGTGGAGGTTCTCTCTCTCTCTCCGTCTCTCCCGAATGTGTATATGCTCTCTATCATGAAAAAATAACTGAAACAAAAAAACAATGATGTTGCTAAATTCCCTCAGGTAGACAGGAGTCCGATGTGAAAGATTATTATTTGGTAAAGAAGTGATTTTTCTAGGACTGTGTTAAGAGTATATAGGATGTAAAAGAAGATTGTGAAGAGATGTTAAATTTTGACAGCCAAGAACCCTAAATTTTGTTACGTACACATTATACATTGAACAGTTTTTCACAGTCTTAAATTTAGGTTGATATCTACAGTGCCATTTTTAGGAAATAAAAATGCAAAAGGGAATGGCTTTAAGACGGCTGTAAGAGATGAATTAATATGTTTCAGGAGAGACAGGTAGAGCAGGTGGGAGAATTCCACATTGGAGCACTGAAAGGAGAAACCATCGAGGTGTGGAATAGTGGGCACTTCACCAGTAATTGTACTCTGTATGTGTTATACTTTATTCACCTGGATTTAATAAAGATTTGACCTTAGGTTTTATGCGTTTTAGGGATTTCTTTTATTTTTGGTTACTTCTGAAAATAATATTAAATTTGAGTTCTTGGTTTTCAGAAAAAATTAAATGATATCATATTTTCATTTTGGTAGGTTGGTGTAAATGGTAGCTTTTTATTTTTCATTTGAGGTTTCCTCCGTTCTGACTCATCCCTTGTCTTCCTAGGTCAATGGTGTGCAACTCTACGGGAAATCTCGCCGAGAAGCAGTCTCCTTCCTTAAAGAAGTGCCGCCCCCTTTTACCTTGGTTTGCTGTCGACGGTTGTTTGATGACGAGGCCTCCGTGGATGAACCACGGACCCCTGGCACCTCCCCTTCTGCGATGGAGGTACGGACTGAATTAACTGGTCTCATCGCACGCCCGTTCATGGGTGCCCGGCAGAGGGGATAGCAATGGGAAGGGAGAGGAACCCTGCACTGTTCTTTTATTTGACTAAGAGAAATCGCATAGCTTCTTAAATGGTTACTTTTCATTTAATATCTTACAGCTCTTGTTTCTTTTTCCTTTTTCCTAAAATGTTGGTGACATTGGTGGGTTTGCATTTTGATTTTAGAGAACCTTTTTCTCGTAATTACCCGAACTCATTACATTTGGCTTCTGGTTCAACTCAGTTTGTCTTAATAAGTTTAAGATGTTGGTGAGTGGTATCTAATGGCTTTCCCTTTTTTCAGAGCCTAAAAATATGAGGATCTATGCTCAGTTTTGAAGTGAGGCTAGAAATTGCCCTAAAAGCCTTAGAAGGTCAGAGAATGAAATAGCACTTTTAGTGCTTAGTACTCTTTTTTTTTTTTTTTTTTTAAGAGCATTATAATTATGAGAAGAATTTTGAGCTTTGAACACATGCTTTCTCATCTTATGGCATTTGTAACTTCGTTTTCTATGGCACTTTCTCCCCTGTTTAGATTCTCTTAGATTCTAATGCCATTATGACCATTTAGATCGATGGGGCCTTCCCTTTTACCTGTCTGAGGTCTTGATTTCAAGGTAACTTGGACTCTAATGCTGCCTCTACTTGCTTAATGACTGTGAATCTTTGGTCAAATAACTTGCCTGGGGTCAGCAGTTGGCCTGGTGGTTGAGGTAACTTCACCTCATGGTCAATTAAGTTTTTGTTTTTTTTTTTTGAGAGAGATTTTTGCTATAGGGCGCATGCGCTCACCAGACAGACAGAGACAGACAGAGAGACAGAAAGCAAAAAATCCCCCCCCTCTCAGGGGGGAATGGCCACACTGCAGTCCCTTCTCCATTCTTCTCTCGGGATCTTGGGCACACAAGCACATACGCCCGGTGTGAGTTTTAAGCCACCAGGTCCAGGATGCAAACCGCAATTGACTACATGGGAGTCCAGCGACATAGCCATTATGCTAACTGCTGGTCCCAATGGTCAACTAAGGTTTGAGTGCCCAATTCCACATAGATTTCCACATGGCACACTATGTTTTGAGTCCCAGATCTGGTGATTTGCTTTCTTACTTTCCCTTTCGCTCTCTCTATCCCTGTGTGGTAATACTTAAAACAATAACAATGAATAAAATTTAAAGAATAATCTTTTTTTTTTTAAGAATTATTTATTCATTCAAGTTATTCATTCCATTCTTTTTTTTTTTTTTTTTTTGGAGGGGTTTTTTCTTTAGGGTGAATTTTTGGAGAGGTTTTTGCTATAGGGTGTGTGAGCTCACCAGAAAGACAGACTGAGAGACAAAGCGAGAAATCACCCCTCTGGGGAGATGGCTACGCCACAATCCCTTCTCCTCCATTCTCCTCTCGGGATCTTGGGCACAAACACATGCCCGCGCCCGGTGTGATTTAAGCCATCTGGTCTGGGATTCGAACAACGGTCAACTACATGGGAGTCCAGTGACATAGCCATTATGCCAACTGCTGGTCCCTCATTCATTGATTTTAATTTGACCAGAGAGAGACACAGAGAAAGAGAGAGAGAGAGAGAAAGTGAGAAAGCAAGCCACTCATTCCAGGGCTTGAACCATGGTCGGCCATGTGGGAGTATCCAGTGCCTTACCCACCACGCCACCTGCTGGTCCCCAAGAGTAATTCTTTAAAAAAATAACCACTTGACTTTTTGTTCATATTCTTTCTCTGAAAAATAGTGATACTTATAGTACTTATAAGACTCATGAGTTTGTATAAGAAGGAAATGAAGTGATGTATGCAAAGCCAATGCAATGACTTGCACATAGGAGGTGCTTGGTAAAAGTTACCTAACCATAGAAGTTGGGTAGTAGTGTGTGCCTGAAATCCCAGCTACTCAGGAGGCGGAGGCAGGCAGATTGCAAGTTCAAGGCCAACCTGAGCAATAAAGCATGAAACCTTGTCTCAAAGGAAAAACAAAAAACAAATGCTTTTCTTACCTCCTCCGGTCCACCAATCTTTGATTTCTGAGGATTTACATTATAAGAGTGTGATACTATCTCATAGTCACTGATACTTTAGTGTGTACATTTGTTTTTCCAAGAAGACTGTTAGCTGCTCATGGGCAGAGACTAAATCTTAAAATTGCTTTCTGTAGCTTATTGCTTTTATTCTGTACTGGATATATGAGATTCTTTGAAAAGTTCATGGAGAAAGGTACATTGTGAAAAAACTGCACGGATTTCAAAACTTTTTTCTCACTGGGACCAGCAGTTAGCGTAATGCCTATGTCGCTGGACTCCAATGTAGTCGACCGTGGTTCGTGTCCCAGACCCGGTGGCTTAAAACTCATGCTGGGCGTGTGTGCATGTGTGCCCAAGATCCCGAGAAGAGAATGGAGTAGAAGGGATTGCAGCGTGGCCATCCCCCCTGGGGGGTGATTTCTCACTTTCTGTCTCTCTGTCTCTGTCTGTCTGTCTGGCGAGCTCACGCACCCTATAGCAAAAACCTCTCAAAAACAACAACAACAACAACAACAAAAACCTTTTTTCTCACCAAAATTTATACTTTTGTATTTTTTAATGATTGGTGTTTTTTAATGAGCACAACCCTCAAAGAGGTGTGGTCACACTGCAATCCTTTTCCCTCCACTTCTCCATGGTGTCAGGATTTGGGACACATACTTGCACAAGTCTGTCATACTTTTCAAGCCACTAGAACTGGGATTCAAACCACAGCAAAAATCGGTTCCCTGCGCACCACATGTAACCACTACACTACAGGGTCATCCCTAAACTCATGCTTTCACTCCACTTTTCCGTGACTTTTTGAACTTCCCCTGTGTTTAGAGGGAATTAGTCAATTGTCCATTTTTTTTTTCATCATTGATTAGCAATTTTTTAAAATTTTTTACCTTTTGTGGAAAAAAAAATCACCAAAGGGGAGACTCAAGTGCCATACTTCTGTAACTTTTGCTGTCCATGCTAAAATGCAACATGGGTGGTGGATTCCCTCTGAAGGTTATAAAAATGCCTTTAATCTAATCTTGCAGGGTGTGTAAATCACCAGGCTAGCTTGCTAACCCTGAGCTCTCATCCTTCATGCTTTACCACAATGGGGAACAGCAACTGTGAATTATGCGAAATGTCGGCCTTCCTGCCCATTAGTTGATTGCTTTTCATTCTGTAAACACAGGAGTTATGCAGCATTCATTGTATCAAAGTGATATATTTCAGGTTGGCATAAAACATTTTATGCACCTTAGAAGGCTTGAAATTTCTGTAGACTTGAGTTTTGTGATTGTCTTAAAATCCTGGCTTTCTTTTCCACCTGCCTCTTCGTTCATATATACTGATACCATGCTGTGTTCTTAAACTCAATTTGATTAGGCAGCTTAGCCAAAACTCTAATTCTTATTAATCAATGAGAATATTAAGTGCCCCAGTAAAATATCAATCATATCTGTCATCAGAACTTTACTTTTTTATTGGAATATAAAAGTGTTTTCTTTTTTAAGTGTATCACCTCCTCACATCAGGCTGAAATACAGAGATTATTGATCCAAAATGTTCTCATTAATTTCAATACCCACGGACTGGGTATTGACCTTCCATGTCCCGTGGTAACAGTTTGAGATCTGGATCACCCTTAATTTTAAAAATGTTTTTGTGTTTGCTATGGTATCTTACTCTTCTAAGGTATAGAGTTCTCCCCATACCTTTTGATTCCCTTAGATGGGTTTTTCTTATATAGGACACTCAAACGTGTGCTTGTATTTATAAAGAATGATGTATTTTCATTTTATTTACTAGAGATCTCCCAACGTTTTAAGAAGACTACTTTTTAAAAATTGTTATGAATTCTGTAGCTTTATATTAAGAAAGAATTTCAAGAGTTAGAGATAGGTGGTTCATTAAGGCATTGAGCAAATACTTATCGGGTGCCTGTTACACTCCTGGCGCTGTATGGGGGAGTGGATAACCATGGTAAACTCAAATCTAGCCCTCACTAAGTTTCTATTGGAGTCCAGGAGCCAGGCAGTTGCTAGGGCTACAGAGAAAAAGAAGATAATTCTTGAGCTTCAGATAGAAGTTTAGAGTATTTGACAGAAGATAAATCAGGTGAAAACAATAATACAATGCTATAAATAGTATAAAAAGAATAGGTTTTGAAGCAGCCAGTCACCTTCTACATAGTAGACTCATTGACCTTCTTATTGAACTTCCTGGGATTCCACTTAGCAGTGACTTTTTGAAAGGACATGGAGCATGGAATAGAAAGACTTTGGGGTGTGAAGTTAGAAAAAAAATAATGAAAGATTGATGTGCTGGGCAATTGTACTTGTCTATTTCCTTTAAGATCAGATTTTTATTACTCAATTCAGTGATTTTTACCTGTTTTTATACTTACATGATGCCCGTGAACTTGGGTGGGTGTTATTTTTTTTCCCCACCTTATTTTCCTAGTAAAGTTTTTCTTGCAATCTTTTAGGAGCCAACAGAAATGGTTTCTTTGTGTCCTGCTCTGGCTTGTCTCTGTGTTGGCATCTTCTATTCTATCTTTTACTGTAATTATGAATCTTTGTATTGCTACTTAAAAAACTTACAAATTTCTACTTTGCAACGTGTTTTCATTTTTATTTAAATTGTTATTTTTTTTCTTTTATGCTTCTAATGGGATGACAGAACTCATTAAAGTATTAAGAGGTCAGTGTTAATATTTTGAATGAATGGATACTTTGCATTAAAAAAAAAAAAGCTGTGTGAATATTCCATTGTTTTTCAGTGCTTGAATTTTCATGACAATTTTCTCCTAGATCTGTGTGCCCCCCCTGCATGGCCCTTTAGAAAAGATTATAAAGAACTTCGCATGCCAAAGAGAATTTCCAGTTTGAGAAGAGGCTGTGAGATTCCTGATATTCATCTTTTTTCAGAATTGAAAGGATACTGTTTTGAAACATTGATCTTCTTTGGTATTTTAGGTTGACCACAATGTAGATGTCAATACTGAAGAAGATGATGATGGGGAATTAGCACTATGGTCTCCTGAAGTCAAGATTGTTGAGCTAGCAAAAGATCATAAAGGCTTAGGATTCAGCATTTTGGATTACCAGGTATAAAAATTCATATAGAGGTTTTCGTGTTTTCGAAGTGATTGCTTGTGTTAAAGTTATGTGAAGCAGTGATTGTTTGGGGCATACATTGACGGAAGCAAAACTGAATGTCGAAGATGAAATGTTACACCTTTAATTGTTACTTTCAAAACAAATAGCCCTCTTGGGACCAGAAGTTGGCCTAATGGCTATGTCTCTGGATTCCCATGTAGTTGACCGTGGTTTGAGTCCCAGACCCGGTAGCTTAAACTCGCTCTGGGTACATGTACATGCATGCCCAAGATCCTGAGAGAAGAATGGAGGAGAAGGGATTGCAGTGTGGCTATCCCCCCGGGGGGGGGGGGATTTCTCGCTTTCTGTCTCCCTGTCTTTCTGGCTAGTGCATGTGCCCTATAGTAAAAACCTCTTTGAAAAAGAAACAAAAACAAAAACAAAAAAAAAAACAAAACAAACCCAGTAGCCCCCTTAGCAAATAAAATGACTGATATAATAATGGGACAATAAGGTTAGCAGTCGTTTCATACCCATAGATGCTTTTAGGGACTAGGACTCAATGTACTCTCTTATATGAAGCATTTTCCCCCCTTAGCTTTATTAAGATATATTTCATATAACGTAAAACCCACTTAAAACATACAGTTCAGTTGTTTTAGTGTATTCACAGTTGTACCGCCATTACATGCTCTAAGAACATGTCCAGCTTCCCCAAAGAAACCTCTCACACATTAGGAGTCATTCCCAGTTCTCATTCCTTTCCCTCCCCTCCATATGAAGGTTTTGTAGTCTTGCTTATCTATTAATCTCAATGAGGTAAAGTAAGTAGAAATGTCCTTGAAGAAAGTATGTGTTCTATTAATACATACTACCTATGTATTTATATATTTATAGGTACTCCATTCATAAGCAGGGCAAAGTTACTGATGCATTTCAGTAACTTTGAGGTGGGTGGGAGGCCATCAAAGGTCAAGGTAGGTCATCTACACCCTAGCTCAGTTTACAGTTACTGTTATATTTTTAGACCTCTCATTATTTAGGGGATTAAAAAATGTTGGCTGGGTCTAGCAGGTGGCATGGTGGTTGAGGGCACTGGACTCCCACATGGCCAACAGCACTTCAAGTCTTGGACCTGGAGGCTTGCTTTCTCGTTTTCTATCTCTCTCACTCTGTCCCTTTCTAGTCAAATAAATAAAGAATTACATAATTAAAGTTAAATAAAATAATTCTAAAAAAAAACGTTTGGCTAAGGATCCCTTCACTTTTAAGATACATATTTTAGTACTTTAGTGCTGCCCAATAAATATAATGTGGTTTAATAAAGTAAAATGTACTCTATCAAAGCACATAAAATGCCAAGTGATATGAAAATCAATGTTTTAATATAATAAGGCAATTGGAGACAGATTGAAAGAAGAATACTTTGACTATTGTGTAAGAACATTAAATTCTGTATCTTGGCAGTGTGATTTCAGTTTACTGAAATAGGTGACATCTATTTCGTTTTTGCTGACTTATTTCTGTGCCAGATAGCCTTCTCCATTATTAGACCTTCTCTTTGGAGTGTTTTTGCATTATGAGTTGTTGATTCCAAATGAATATTTTTGGAAATAAAACATCAATACTGTAAGGTTCTAGAAATTTATATATTAATTCATATTTATATTAGCTGATATTAGAGTGTAGCCATGGTAAATGCCATGCTCTGCCAGGCTGATCCACATGGGGAGGTTACAGGTTCACGTCCACATGTGCCTATCCTTCAAGGCTGGCCAAAGTTGGTGGTAGATTACCGTGTCAAGACCCTATGAGGGTACTTTGTTTCTTTCTCCTACCTAAACTTGAGTGTGTACACAAACACACACACACACTCTTATGCATTTGGGCTTGTAGGGATAGACAGTGGCACAGCTGGACCCATATGGAAGACCTTGGGTTCATAGCTGAGGGTCTTCCTCTAAGCACCATGTGATGGGCTGACTAAAGCTGGGAGTGGATTGTACTGTGAGGACTCTAGGGTGATTGTCTCTCTCATGGAAGAAGTAAATAAACTTAAAATTTACATAATAGTGCACATAAAAATGATCTTTTTAAAATAGCTCCCATTGTAACCCTATTACCTAGTACATAGTAGGTAGTTAATAAGTACTTGCCAAGTGATTGAATAAAACTTAGATTAGGCAAAATTAACTAGAATCGAATGAACAAATCCAATGGGGGTTTGTTAATTATTGTATTTTGACAGTTGGGATTTAATTTAGAAAACACTTTTCAATGAGGTCTTCATTCTTTAGATAATTTTTAGCATCGTAGAAATCTATATAACATGTTTGTATTCTATCATAATAAATGTTTATATTGTAATGGAGTTGCTCTTGCCCTTTTAAATGACATTATCTGCAAGTTGTATATTTTGCGTATTGCACATGGTAAAGCAGAGAAGTGTTTCAGAACTTAAGAAAAAAAAATCTCTTTACCAGTTGAGCTTTACACTTTTTCAAAAATGTGGTCAATTCTATGGTACCAACAGATGGCATAATGGTTATGTCACTGGAGTCCCATGTAGTCAACCATGGTTTGAGTCCTGGACCCAGCAACTGAAGAAAAAACCTTATACCAGGCATGTGTGCATGTGTGCCCAAAATCCTGAGATGAGCATGGAGGAGAATTGAGAATGGAGGATTGCAACATGGCCATCCCTCCAGGGGATGATTTCTCACTTTCTGTCTCTTTAGCTCTCTCTGTCTCTCCACCAAGTGCACATGCCCTATAGCAAAAATATTTCTCTCAAAAAAAAAAAGTGATTAATTCTAACTGTAAAATTTTTTTTTCCTTACTGCATTCATATACATATGCATTGTAGCTTCCATTGCTTTTTGGGTTTTACTTGTATTTGTTACATTCTATGGTTTTCTTTTTCCTCTTATCTTTCCACAGTTGGCTCACATGCTAAACTTCATTTCTGTACTAACTATATAAAGTAATAATACATCAAAGAAAGTGTTAGGTATTCTTTTTGCCTTTGTGCTTCTTGGAGAAGAACACTTAAATTCCTAAATGCTGCTTTGTTTCAAATTAAAGGTCTCACCTTATTTATTCTTATAGCTAAACCTTGAAAAAAATACATTCAATCCCAAAATCGAATATTTTTCTTAAGTCAGTCTCAACTACTTACAAGTTATATACAATACATTTTCACGGTTTGTCATTGGTATATTATCTACTGTGACATTTAGATGACAGGTAAACACAATTTAAAATTCGGTTTGGGACAACTTAATTAATTAGTTATACTATCCCTTGTTGTAATTAGGTAATAAATTCTAAAGTTCAAAAATATATTTTGCAAGGTCAGACAAAGGTTTCCAAGAGCCATGAAAGGCCACATTCCTGGCTATTATTTGTATTTTACGTGTCCTTTATGGATTTATTAGGTAACTGAATGGGGCCAAGGCAGATTCCTGCCCTGCCAGACTCAGCACGTTTAGAGTGAGAAGTCCTGTAGAAACATTTGAGCCACAGGGAGAAAGCATCAATGTAGTGTGAGAACTTCTAAAGCATAAATGACCTGCATTTAGCAGTATTGAAGAGTTTGGAATTTTACTTTGGAATATTAATTCCAGTTTGCCCCTTGTCTTACTAGCCATTTTTTTTCTCTAGAACAATAAGAACTTCCTACAAAACCTGACAAACAACACACCTCTTTTGTTGGTGCTTCTATAACTCCCTCATCTGTAAAATGAGGATGACAGTGTCCAGCTAAAAGAACTGTGTAGGTTAAGTGAGTTCATGTATAGGGAAGTAGGCAGGATATGTTATGTTGTTAAGGGAATGGGAATCTTATTAACATTCATTCAATTAGAAAATAGGGACCAGCAGATGGCATAATGATTACATTACTGGACTTCCATGTAGTTGACTGTGGTTTGAATCCCTGCCCCAGTGGCTTAAAAAAAAAAAAAAAAAAGAAAAGAAAAACTCAGGCCAGATGGTCATGCACCAAATCCAGAGAGGAGAATGGAGAAGAAGGGATTGTGGCATGGCCCTTCCTCCTGGGGCATGATTTCTTCCTTTCTTTCTCTCTGTCTGTCTCTATCTCCCTAGTGAGCACTCACACCCTATAGCAAAAACCTCTCTTGGAAAAAAAGAAAGGAAAAACACAAAAAATATTGATACTATCCTCCAAGATGGAGCTATACTGCAATCTGTTTGTACTCTAACCCTTTTTAACTTTCTAGTTAAATTAGGAAAATTAATAAGTAGACACTTTTGTTTAATGAAGTCTAAATTTAATTTTAAAATTGCATCTTAAAGTGCAGCCAACTCTTGATGAGCCATATGTTAGTTCCTCAGTTGTGAGGTTTTGACCAGAAGTTTGCTTTTTAGATACATTGAGCTGAACTTTAGAAAAAGATGAATAAGCAAGTAAGGGTCTTCCCTTGGTCTATGGAGTGACAGGGTGGCTGTCTGGAGTGTTGACGGAAGTTGTACAGCTGAGCAAAGGGACAAGCCTTTACACCTGAAATGAGAGAGCTGATTCTGAGCCACGTGTCTACGGTTCAGTCATATGGCCCAAGAGTCGAGTGTGGACAGGCAGTTTTATGAAAGGCATTTTAAATTATACTGAGGCAAAAGGAAAAAAAAAAAGAAAGCAACAGGAGGGACAGTAAATATAATTTGGGGTTTACATCTCTTTCTTAGATTTTAGGATGAAATGATCGTAACCTTGTTGGCTACGATTTGAATAGAAGTGGGGTATTCGTTAGCCTTAAATATACCGAGGTTAAAATCCTGCCCTCTATGGTACCATCTTCGAAGAGTCATTGGTGTCTGTGTTCTGTTGTGTCTTACAGGATTGTGTCCTGGAAAACAGTGGTGTATATCAGGGCGACAGGCTTTATTTCTAAGCAACAGAACTCTTCAGAATTTGTTTAACGTTTTTATACAGTAACTTCTTACCAGTTTTTAAGTGAGGCTTCCACAGTATGCCTTAATGATTTTTGTCT